GGGAAATGAGGTTATGATGTCCACACAGTACTTTACAATTCTGATAATTTACCATCATGAGGCAACATTTGTTTCACACTTTTTTTGACAATAATTTTCCATGATTGGAGGAAACATGGGTCGTCTCCTTACTCACTAGACTGCTTTCCCTGTTAAACAACTGTTTCAAATGTATCTTTTCAAATTATTCTCTAAGAAAGGCAAGTATAAATCCAATTATCAAACAAACAAATCTATGTTTAATGTATTGTCGAAGGCTTTCATGGCCGGAATCCATGGGTTGTTGTAGGTTTTTCCGGGCTATATGGCCATGTTCTGGAGGCAATTTTTCTCCTTTTTCTCCAGGAGAAAAATTGCCTCCAGAACATGGCCATATAGCCCGGAAAAACCTACAACAACTCACAAATCTATGTTTTCTATAAATATGTCTGCAGCTGTCTGCCAATGTAAAGATTCCAGAAAATTGATCACCCTATGGACAGTCTAGAAATATAGCCTAAAACAATATTCTGGAATGTCATGGTGAAATCATATTTCCCACACATGTTTTAGATGTAGCGTTAAAAGTGGAAGAGGGGTTCTTGATAAAAGTGATCAAGGATATTACTACATTGTTCTAGAACAGATGATTTTAGTTCTAGAACAGATGATTTTAGACCATTAGACTCTAAAGACAGCTTTAGCATCTCAGTGTCTGTATTTTAACTGGTTGCTTTGCCTCCAATCAGTGCCTGAATTTGACCAGGAAAAAAAAAAGGCTTACACAAGACATTGAGCCTTTCCACATAGGAAACTTATTGTTCTGAGAAAGTAGCACTGGCATTATTGAGGAGTGCTCCATTCCTACTCAAGTTAAAACAATGGCATCATATTTGTTCTTGATCAGTGGTTCTCAGCCTTTGGTCCTCCAGGTATTATAGACTTCCAACTCCCAGAAGTCCCAGCCAGCTTACCAACATGAAGATCACTACAAACTAATCATGAGGGCTTTCTTAAGAAGGATATGCACTAGTCTGACCTCAAGCAGTAATCCTGTCTAAGTATTGACCCCTAAAAACATATTCCCTCATGCACTCCCAGGCTGTCTTTGTATGTGGAAGTGGACAGAAAGGTAATTAGATGATCAAAACAGGGATGGTGCTGTTGCCTTTGATCAGTGATTGAGGGAATCAGAAGATTTGTCTTAAAATATTTCCTGCCTCACACACATACATGTGCTTGTATATCAGATTTTATTCTGTCATTTCTTGGAGCAGCTAGTCTTGTTTCCTTTTACCTTTTTTGGCCTCACAACAAGCTTGTGAGCTAACAGCCTGTGATGTAATATCATGTGAAGATTGTGGATGAAAAACAACTGGATGTCATTATGAGAAATACAATGTGGCATGGAACTGGTGTGACTATCACACATTTGGCTTTCATGCAAAACTAGTGTAGGTCTCCAAACATCTTTCAAATGTGTGAAATGTGCCTGAACATTTCTATGTTAATGGAATATTTTTTTGAACATAGTTTATGATAATATCATTGCTCTTTTAAATTGCTCTGTTTTGTGTGATAATATTTGCTGGAAGCCAGTGATTTGCCCTAAATTCATGTATTTTAGGAAAGGTTACAAATGACAATAGTATAAATAAATCAATTCTTTAAAAAACGGGATGACAGGCAAGGAATAGAGAAAGGCACTTTTGATGTAAATGGAAGTCTATGGACACTTAAACATGTCATATAGATTACAAAATACATAGTCCTTGATCAGGAATTACATAGAGCAGCTGTTAAATGACAGAAGATATGAGCATTGGACCACAAGCCTGTCATAAACATTGCACTCTTAATCAGAGAACATCTGCTTTTCCATTGCTTTTACGACAACCTCTGCCTTGTGTTTAATCTGAAGCAGAATGATTTTCCTAATAGGTACAACAGTGTTTTTACAAATTGAAAAACCTCCTGGCTAAAAAAGTAAAGGATGCCAACTGCCGACGTTTCAATTAACACAACCGTTTCTTGTAAGAAGGGGCGGAGGAGAGAAAGAGTTGGGGATAAGGAGAACATCGCTCCAGCATTTGGCAAATTCTGAGATTGCTTTGCATTTGTGAAATTTAATTATTGGCAAATTAGTAGTGCAGATGCCGATGCACAACGGGTTCCAAACTCCCGCTATTCAATCTGAGCTTTTTCATTTAGGCAGATAATGAAAGTGCATGCAACAAAACGTAACATCTGTAAAAAGGACAATGACAGAAAATAAGTTTATCACAGACACAATCTATCCCTTTTCAAGTGATCGGTTTCACCTTCGCATTAGAGATGTAAATCCCTGACTCATTTTGACCTCACACAGTAAATGAGAATAACTAGAGAGGGGTGAGCAATTCCCCTTGTTACCAATCTATGGGGAATCTGAGGAGGGCACAGTTGATCTCAGGAAAAGAAATGAAAAATTTCATGAGTTCCTTTTCTACATTTATGTAAAATGTACAGTATTGGAAAATTTGATAACATTTGTTTTCCATTTGAAGCTTTTGTGATTATTCATCCTGTTGTTAGTGTGTGTGTGTGTGTGCTTGAGGCGAGTGTTGGGTGTACTGTGTGCCTTCCACATTAACAGAGGTTAGGAGTGCTGGGTCTCTAAGAAAATGGAAAAATGCACACCTTTGTAGGAATCTCTAGGTTCTCCAATGTGACCAATGTGGTCAACTTACGCTGGAGGTTAACCATTCATAGAATTGTGCTGGAGGACTTACAAATGCCTAGGGAAGCATTCTCACTAGAAATATGTAGGTTGTTGAAGGCCTTCATGGCGGGAATTACTGACTTGCTGTGAGTTTTTGTGGCTGTATGGCCATGTTCCAGTATCATTCTCTCCCGATGTTTTGCCTGCATCTGTGGCAAGCATCCTCAGAGGTTTGTTGAGAGGTCTGTTGGAAATGAGGCAAGGTACAACAGTGGAGTGTTGCAATTAGCAAGCTTAGTTAGCATTGAGTAGTCTTGCAGCTACTAGTCAATCAGTGAGGTTATTTGTATAGAGGTACCCTGGCTGTTGTTTGGGAGTTAACACTTCCCAAACAAAGGATCCTCCCCAGGTAACATTCAAACTTGCTTCAAACAGACAAAGGTTCTTTCTCCCACCCTGGACATTCCACAGATAAAAAGCTCTGAAGATGCCAGCCACAGATGCAGGTGAAACATCAAAGAATGCTACTGAAACATGGTAATACAGCCTGAAAAACTCATAGTAACCCAATCTCTAGGTACTGCCTTTTCTCCATCAGTGGTCACCTCGATCCACCCAGGAAAATCTCCTATATATACCAGGCCCTAGGGAGGTACACCTGGAAGCTACAAGGCATAGAGCTTTTTCGACCTATGCTCCAATTCTGTGGAACTCATTGCCTCCATACATTAGAGCAATGTCGGAGTTGCGACCTTTTGTAAAGGCACTCAAGACTTGGCTGTTTGGTTGTGCATTTAAGTAATCAGATCTAATTTGCAAAATAGTCACTGTTGAATGTTTTTATGTTGAATGTTTTTATATTGTGTAAATGCTATTTTAGACTGTAAGTCGCTCAGAGCACATTGGTGGAGAACAACTAATTAAGAAATAAAGTGAAGTGAAGAAGTGAAGTACTCCAACATGACTTTATTGTCAATTACCGGTGGATGTTGGCCATAGAGTAGTGTTGGAGGACCTAAAGATTCTTAGATTTCTCAAAAGTTAAACCCATCGATATGGTAAGCTATGCTTACCTTCAGAAAAGAGCTAAAATAGTTCCAACTAAAATAGATAAATTTATCAATGGGACCTGCATAAACATTTTGATAAGACTCTTGTGCAAGAATAAAGTGAATTCTTACTCAATTCCCACCAATTAAATGAGTCTATTCTGATTGCAATTAACAATTAGGATTTGTCTTCTGTGTTTTTTCACAGTATGTGAGCTACACTTCAGAAAACAATTTTCAGATTCAATAGTGTGATAGTGCGATGATCTCTTATTTAATACAAATTCATGTCAAATTTTAGAGTACAACTCCCATCATCCCCATGGGTATGTTGTCTAACGACTTCATCAGAGAGGGCTTTTTTCAGTGGCATACTATATGTTAAGCTACAGTTTAACTATGGAGCCTGCCAGTTACCATCCCAAAACATAAAACTACACCCTGAAGGGCTCCGTGGCTAAACTAAAGCAGAACCAGCATATGCCACCATGGCAGCAACATAGGAGACTCCCCATGTTTCACCATCAGCAACAATGTGGGGAAGCTGGGCAACCAATGCTTCACCCCCATAGGAGGGGGTTATGAGTAAGTCTGGCAATGCGGGACATGGAGTGATGGGTTCTCCATGCTACCCCGTGAGCAGGATTTGCCACAATCCATGGTGAGCAAGATTTGCCACAATCCATGGTGATTCCAGCGGCTAGTATGATAAGGTTGTAAATGTGGAGGAAGTTAGTTGTGTTTCAACATATCTCACTGATAAAAGCTGCTTTTAATATATTTCACTTTGACAGTAAAAACTACACATGCCAGAAATACGATTTGCTTGTCTTCTCTCCTCTTCCCTCAATGTTTTTTGCCAGGCAGGGAGCCTTTTTTATACTGTAATCCATTGCATTTAATTTTGGAGAACACAGAAGCCATCCCTCAGAGTAAAACAGCAAAAATCCACTTTGCACATCCCATGTTGCTATGAATATTACAATTATGTTTTGATGTTAATCCTACTGCAGCAATTTCCTTGTTATGATTGTCTGCATGAAAATGCAGGAGACAGCCCATATTTTCCCTTTCAATGGAACATGACATGCTCTTCAAGGAACTGATGAGCCCAAATACTCTGCAGAAATATCCCTATCATTCAAAGGAAACTAACAAATGAGCCAGCAGCTTTTGACAGCCGTCTACTTGATGTGGGAGATTTCGCTGAGTGAAGCCAGATTTTGCTTTCTGATTAACCAATCCTGTCTGGTGATTTCATTTGCAATTACCTCTAATGCTGTCAAATCCTGATATGAAAATTGCAGAGCCGGGACCCCGAGATGGTTGATGAAATAATCAGAATCACCTTGCATTTGTACCGAACTGACATTTGCTTCCATGCATTTCTCTTGCCCAAGACAGCTGAAGTTATGTCTCTGAAAGATACAAAATTGGATTTAGTCTTAGATTCAGTAGCCACACATGGAGCTTTATTCAGATAAGCAAAGATGTGGTAAATATCTTGATCTAGTAACACCATTAGCCTATGTGAATTGAATGTGAAATCTCAAGCCAAAGTAGATATGTAGCAATAGACCTAGTACACAGAGGACTGTAGAATTAATGCTGTTTGACACCACTTTAATTGGCTTAATGCTATGGAATTATGGGAGTTGTTGTTTGTTTGTACTATTTGGCAGACAAGACTAAAAACCCTGTAAAACTACAGTTCCCATAGCATTGAACCAAGGCAATTAAACCTCATTAATTCTACCCTTGAAGGCAGATTATGGCAGGCAGTGAAGGGTTGTTTCACCTTTCCCTGATCTGTGGATAGCATCATCATTTCAGTTCATTGTTGATAACAATTTCCCATAATTCACAAATGTCTCCATATTCCAAAGGGAAAAAAATGAATGTGGGAGACATGAAAAGTTGATCCAGACATTGGGTGATTAATTTTGTAAAGAGTAAGTTTGGGCTCAGTCATGTTAGGTCTGAAATGGAATCTCTCTCTCTCTCTCTCTCTCTCTTTCTTTCTTTCTTTCTAAATCTCCATCTTTAACAGCTGAAAAATATACAGATACAAAATAATCTTTTATATGGCAAGAATAATCATCATAGAAAGTCGTGGTTCTGGGACCAGGCTTTTGGACAGCAGGCATAAATAGCACTTTGGATATGGAACTCGACTGGAATGATGATACGATTGACTTAATACTGTTTTTATTGTTTTAATTAATGTTCTATTTATTGTTTTAATTGTTGTTATGTTGCGTTGTTATATGTAGTGGCATCGAATTGTTGCAAAATGTAAGCCGTCCTGAGTCCCCCTTTGGGGGTTGAGAAGGAACAGGGTAGAAATGCTGGAAATAAATAAATAAATAAATAATCAGATGTACTGAATCTATTCAGGTTTTCTTTTCTTTTATTATATAATGATAGCATTATAATTCGACTATAACTGTGATGATTAATTTCTGTGGAATCCTGGGATTTGTGGTTCAGTGAGGCACAAGAGTTCTCTGGCTAAAAATTCTAAACACCCCTCTTTAAAAATCAGAACACACCATTCCAGAGGTTGTAACCATGTCACTCATAGAACTATAACTGTTGGAAACAGGGGGGAATGTTTTTCCTTTGTTTTGGAAGACCTAGCTTCAAATTTGTAACTCTCTCTATGTTTTGAATGCTGAAAAACTAAAATTTAAATGTCTGAGTGCATCGTAGGTGCTTCAAGAGTCCTGCTTCCAAAGGACTCTTGAGAGCACATGGCTATGTCCAGTCTGACTTTGGACTCTGTGTGGGGAATCCATGTGAAGAGGAAGTGATACAATCCTCCTTTCCATTCTTTTCCACCTTGAGCCTATGTTATCCCTCTTATTACAACAAGGATGAATAAGATGTGTTCTGTGTAGTGCATGAAGTTTTTGAAACCCCCTTTTGTGTCTCTTGTTGAATTGGCTGACAAATAGGTCTTCATACCACTACACATAGCACCTAAACCATAGCTGCAAATTGCAATGGCTAAAACCACTGGAAAACAATGTCTTCCCCCGCCACCTCCCCTGGAACACTTTCCCCCCCTACAGAATCCACTGGGTGATCTACATTCTTTTGTCTATTATTTATCAATTTTTGACATCCCTATATTTTTGCACTGTAAAACAGAGTACTGTATTGATTCTTGTACAGGCTGATACATGATTGGAACAGCTGTGTTTAGGATTGTGGGTCACAAATTGGGCAGATTTCTTATTAAATAACACTGTCAACATCTGTAAATTGTCTACACAGATATTGTATCCTTTCCATGAAAAAAAAATTGCTCCTTGGAACTCATTCATCTTGCCCTCTTGAGCTTTCTCGAATCATGTTTTTAAACATTTCATAATGTGTGCCTGTTCAGAGATGTGGATTTTTAAAAAAGTTACTCCCACTCAATTCTGTAATACAAGCATGCGGATCATGTTCTCAGAGTGAGCTTCTGCTTTAATGAATTGGAATTGTTTTATATCACATTCCTTGTGCAGTCACTAATAGAGGAAAGTTCATCTTTATTTTTCAGAAATTCTGCAGTTCTTTACTAATAGAATTGGAAACAAATATTTTAAAAAATTGAAGCCTAGGCCAAAATAGGAAAATGAGAAAATGAGAAGAATCCTGGAAGGACAGAAATCGTTGTAGTCTTCTGAGTACATATGATAGCAACGGGAGATCTTTTCAAATAAAATGCTATTTTCTGCACTGAAAAATTATTTTATACATAGAAAGGAATTTTTCTATGCAGAAAACCTTTCTGGCAAAAAAGTCATTTTGTTTAGGAAAACCCATTTATGCCATTTTCACACATACTCAAAAGCTGTACACCAGGGAGCAAATTTTGACATGATTAAGTCTTACCCATGAGAACAAAATTCATGAAAGTTTACTTCTTTTTTTGATCACTAGATATGGTAGTCTAGCGATACAACTTCCAAAAAGTAACAAGGAACCAGGGCTGGCTTTTGCTCCATCAATCTTATGTGCCACTCTCCAAGACCAAGATCTAAAGTCTAGGAAGCTGGCAGCAAGGCCTTCTGTTTTTTCTCTCTTTTTGGTGTGTATGTTATAACTATTTCTCAATGATGAGCAATTGCAGAGTGGGGTAGAGATTACTGGTGCCAGCTTCAGAACTGCTGCAAATCTCTTCTTCCATGTTGGGAGTGTGTATATGCTGGGATGCACCTATGCCATTTGGGATCTGCCCATGATTTACCCTTTTTGTGCACTGTGTTTTCTCAATTTCTGGTAAAGTTCCCATAATACGGAGGCAAAATCTCTGATATATCCAGAAAAATGGGGTGGGGGATATAAGTCAGAACCTCTCCTGCTTGGATGGACCTTTCTCTCCACCCTTGGAAGGGAAGATTTTAAAACAACAACAACGGCAATAGCAACAAAACCCCAACCTTATGATCCCAAATTCCATTAGGGAGTGTTTTCCCTTCATCTTCTTGTATTTCAGAATGCACACAAGTAGATTTAAGGTCATCATATATTGTAAAAGATAACCACAACAAGAACTCTTAAAATATGTTTGTGTTTCACGTTATTGTTTTCAATTTATACAGCCTCACAATATCATGTTTCTTTGGGGTTTATTTCTGAGTGGACTTGATGGAATTACCCTGTATACCTTAAACACAATTATTTAAATCTTGTTGCTATTTCTCCCATCCAACACAGATGGACATAGCATGGTCTTCCAGATGTTGTTGGATTAGAATTGTTGGACTGCAGATATATATTTTACCTTGCATAATTGAAACTGGGTTTGTGTTAGATTGCTTCAGTTCCTTTACCTGCATGCTGCACCAACATCTCATGATATAGGGTGGTGCATAAATATTCCAATAAATAAACACTCATTAACCAGTTCCAGGATTGCCAGTCGTAAGGGATAATGGGAGGTGCAATTCAGCAAGATATAGAGGCATGCACTTTGCTCAACCTTGCCTTCCACAGTGGGAGGTAGATGTGTTGAAGAGATTGCAAGTTGAAAAGATAGTGGCAAGCCTGAAGAGATGAAGATATTTGCCCGGTGATTAGGTTAACATCTTGGCATAAGCTATTTAAGCACATTATTGTCAGTGAAAATGCAATACACAGTCAGAAATTTCAGTGACAAGAAGATGGGTTGTTAACATTAATTAATTTGCCATTGCATTTAGCTCATTTTTCAAGCCATTTTTCTCTAGCGTTTGCTACTCAGCTTCTGATTACTCTAATCCTGCCAGATTTTATCAGGCACACCGTATGGCATTTCTATTTGCTACAGTGAACAAGCCATCTTTTAAAGAATACACTCAAGGAGATCAGCAATGCTAGATGAGTCTGTTCCAATTACATGTTACCACTTGAAATTCCCTTCTTGTCAGCAATCTGGTCTACTTCAACAACAGGCTCTGGTCCCCAAAATATTCAATGGTCATAGAGTACAGGATGCATTATTGCACTACGGCTGTAATATCCATCTGTGCTGCACATTTTAATCAGTTTAATGATAGATTAATCGACTTAAAGCCTCATTGATTAATCACTGAGAGGGTGATTTTAATCATTGTTGGCAAATTTTAATCAGTGAGGTTGAGAGCTATAGGCAGACTTGATTATATTTTAAGGTTATTTTGCTTTCAGTTGGTCCTTGTGGTCAAACTTTTAAAGAGGGAAGGAGGGAGGGAGGGAAGGAAGGAAGGATAGAAAGAAGGAAGGAAGGATTGAGGACACATTAGTTCTGCAGTTCAGCTTATTGTTTGAATGAATTAAAACCACCAAAGGCAAGCACATCAGAAAGAAAAGATCGGCTTGGGACAAACTGCATTTAATTCCTACTTATAGCTCAAGAGTGACAAAGGCCAGTTGAGACAACGTTAGATCAGTTGACACTGTGCTTAATCCATCCCTGTCCTGACCTAGGATATATGGATTGTTTTGTAGTAGCTCAGCTATCTTTTTTCTGGACATCTTTATGCCAACAAAGTCCAACAAATTCCTCGCTTGCCTTGCAGACAATTTCATGGTCCAGAAGGTAGAAGAGGCAACAAAGAGGTCGGCTAATCTTGATCTCATCATAACAAATACGGAGGACTTGATCAATGCGGTTGAAGTGGTCGGATCCTTAGGAGCAAGTGACCATGTGCTCCTGCAATTTGAGGTACAAAGGAAGGCCGAAACTAAGACAAGTCAAACCCGCATTTTGGACTTTAGGAGAGCTGATTTCCAAAAAATAAAGGAAACACTGAACAGCATTCCGTAGACACAGATACAAAAAGACAAGGGAGTTATGAATGGATGGGAGTTTCTCAAGAGTGAAATACTCAAGGCACTATTGCAAACAATGCCAACAAAGAGGAAAAAATAGGACAAGTGCAAAGAAGCCAGAATGGATGTGCAA